ATTGTAAGGAAAATCCATTCATCAATATATCATACGACCCTTGATTTTCAAGGCGCCGGAGCACCATCCTTGTTGTTCGTTCACTCACCCCTTATATCACACGACCGTCGCTCCCTGAGCAGCGCGCCGGAGCACCGCCCAAAACCCACCACCAACACCATCACTCAACGGCCTTGTAGTTCAGGCCGTGAACCTAACAGCCGAGACCAGTTCCTCTCTCGGCTACAATCGTTTAACTAGGAAGACAGATCAAACAGGCGCACCACTTATCCATCCAACACTCATCAACACATCGACGCACGGTAGACCGTGCTGGCACGCCCGCGCACAACCGCACCGCACCCAAAAGCAGGAAACCGCGTGTTAACGCACATCCCCTCAGCCCGGAACTCCAGGCCGTGAGATTTGCGTGGCAGACAGTATCCGGATCAGCACTGAGCTGACGGCAGTGTTGGATATCGATAGATACAGGGAGAGTATTTCCCCGGGTAGGGGTTTGGAAAGTAGTGGCGCTCTGCTAATGTAGTCCTTCAAGTCTTGAAATGCCTTATCGCATTCGGCAGTCCACTCTATCTGGTGTTTGCTCCCTTTCAAGGCTTTGAAGAACGGTGCACACTTGTCTGTAGCCTTTGAGATGAAGCGAGTGAGGGCTGCCACTCGTCCGGTAAGGCTCTGAATGTCCTTTTGTGTCTTCGGCACCTCCATGTCGATTATGACTTTGATTTTGTCGGGGTTTGCCTCGATACCCCTCTGGCTGATCATGAAACTGAGGAATCTCCCAGAAGATACGCCGAAGGCACACTTCGTTGGGTTGAGTACGAAGCCAGATGCCGAACATGAGGGAAAGGTTCGCCAGATGCTCACCTGCCGTTCGGCTCTTTATTAGCATGTCATCTACGTACACCTCCATTGTGCTGCCGATCTGCTCGGCGAAGATTCGGTTGACCAGCCTCTGATAGGTTGCCCCCGCATTCTTCAGGCCGAACGGCATGACGTTGTAGCAGTAGAGGCCTTTGTCTGTTATGAACGCCGTGTGCCCGCTATCGGCAGGGTGAATGAAAATCTGGTTGTATCCAGAGTATGCGTCCATGAAGCTGAGCAATTCGTGACCGGCAGTGGCGTCAACCAGCTGGTCGATGCGTGGCAATGGGAAGCTATCCTTCGGGCAGGCCTTATTGAGGTCGGTGTAGTCTTGGCACATTCGCCACCCGCCGTTTGCCTTCCGAACCATGACAGAGTTGGCCAGCCACTCTGGGTATATGGCCTCCCGGATGAAGCCAATGGTCATCAGCTTATCCACTTTGTTTTTCATAGCCTCATACCGTTCGGCATTGTAGGATCGGCGTTTTTGCCTAACCGGTTTGAAGGCCGGTGATATGCTCAATTTGTGGCTAATGATGTCAGGGGATATGCCCGGCATATCGTTATAGAACCAGGCGAAAACCTCTTAATTCTGCCGAAGGAATTGGATGAACTCGGCTCGGAGGGCGGCGCTGAGCATGGTGCCGATCTGTACGCGCCGGTCGGGCCAACTTTCATCCAGTGCCACGGTTTCCAGATCTTCGGAATGTTGTGCCACCGGAGTGGTCGCCTCTTCTCTAGGATCATCCACCGCTTCATTACCGTTCGGCATATCCACCACTGTGAAGGTTTCCTTTTGCTTCTGAGGGGCTGCCGATTTCAATGCCGTGGCATAGCAGTTCCGAGCGCTCAGCTGATCGCCCCGGATTGCTCCGGTGCCGTAGCAGGTGGGGAACTTCATGAAGAGCATGTGGGGGGACAAGTGGGCCTTTATCGCTGTGAGTGCCGTTCGGCCGACTATGACATTATATGCCGTGGGACAGTCCACTACGAGGAATTGGTCGTAAACCATGGTTCTTCGTGGAGCCACGCCGAAGGCAATTGGCAGGCTGACACTACCGATTGGCTGGACTAAGTCCCCTGAAAAACTTAGAAGGGGCGAGAGTTGCCGATTGATTTGGCTCTCATCCACTCCGAGCTCCTTGAATGCATCGGCGAAAATGACATTTACCGAGCTGCCGGTGTCGATTAGGATTCGGCCAACATCGAACTCGGCAATCTCGGCTCGGATGATCATGGGGTCGTCATGAGGGAATAGTATCCCTTCTTCCTCTTCTTCGGAGAAAGTAATGGGTTCCCAGCATACCTTCGGCATCTTGGTGTGCCGGTTGCTCTCGATGCCGAGGACTTGGGGGTACTGTGCCGCCCTGACATACTGTTTCCTTGACCGGTTACTCGCTCCTGCGAGAGTCGGGCCGCCGCTGATGGTGCTGATCATGTTGATCTGACGATTGGCGTTCGGTACCGGAGCCTGCTGGGGCCTGGTGATATATTGGTCCAACTTGCCCTCCCAAATGAGCCTCTCGACGATTTTTCGCAGGCTTATGCAGTCCTCAGTGTTGTGGTTGTTCTGCTGGTGGTACCGACAGAATTTTTCCGTATCGCGGCTGTCCTGCCGACTGGGCTTCCGGAAGGCTGGCTTTGGGATGATTTCATTTTCGTTCATCAGGACCGCTTCATAGGAGGCGTTGAGTAGAGTGAACACCTCCGTCCCCTGATTGTGCGCAGGTAGCGGCGCTCGGTAGCTGTCTTTGTCGTACCTGCCCTTATTCTTCTTGGAATGCCCCTTTTGAGATCTTCCGGTGTCTTTGCACTTGTGGCTCTCAGTGTATTCGGCAGGTCGCACCGTTGGCGCGAACGGCGATATCTGCGCCATTGCGGAATGCTGTAGAGGTTTGTTCTGCCGAGCCGTGGGCTCGGCCTTCGAATTGAAGTATTCGGCTTTTGCATGGATTGCCGCTTGCTTCATGAGCTCGTCGTACGTACGCCAGTTGCTGCTGTGTACCAGATACCGAAAGTGTGAGGACCATAGGCCACTCTTGAAGGCGCCACAGGCTGCCCTGTCGTCGGTATCTGGACACCTCGAATATTCATTGCTGAAACGCGCGGCGTACTCATGCAACGGCTCATCATCTCTCTGCCGGACGGTATATAGGTCGTCGGCAGAGTACAGTCTGTCCGTTTGAATCATGAAATGGTTCAGGAAGATCTGCTTCATCTCATGAAAAATCAAGTTGGTTTACATCTTTAATTATTTTTCAATTTTTGATCAATAATAAATATAAGAACGTGTACCATGTCCAATGAATAATGTGAAATAAGGTTACTCATGTATCTTACCATGCAATTTATAAAGTGTAAAATATTATACTAAAAAAATGATAAATAAATTACTATGGGGTGTTTAATTCTCTTTCATTAATTACTCCAGATTTTCTAAGTCACAGAATTTGTCAGCTAGCAATATAATCAACTTAAATCACTCAAACCCACTATGCAATGCATTTCTTTCCAATTTTTTGTGTCAAAATAATAGATGATTTACTAAATAAACTTCTTCTAAAGTTTCATTAAAAATTTCCATGTATTTATCACAATTTCCATGGTTTTCATTCAATTTTTATCGATATCAATATTTCCGTATTTTTTAACCACCGATGTTTCCGAAACTATCGATATTTAAGACCTTGGTTGGAATAAGAGCAACATACTTGATGTACGCGAGGGGCGAGGTTTAAGGCAGGGAGAACACCCAACCCAGATGAAATAGAGAGAGACATAGAGGGGCGGAGAGATTTCAGGGGCTAGAGGAGATAAGGGTTGCTGTTGTGGCTATGTCCGATAGGAAGGGAGGGGGAGGATCGCGTTCGCCGGACATGGGAGGGGCATTGGGCGATGGGGAGGTAGATGGAGGATCGAGATGGAGTAATTAGAAAATCACTGAGGTAGTCACGTGTGAGAAAAGCAACCCTCAACTATCGGTTCCCCATTTTAGGTGCTTTTTTTTGTTTTTGTTTTTCCACAATTTATTCTGGACCATTAGATCAAATAATTCAAATCTAACCGGTCCAACAAGTTGATGAATCGATACTTTGATGTAGGGGGCTTCTCCAATGCGAACTCTAAGATGCGAACTCGTTGCGAACTTTTGTTTTTAACCGTTGGAAGAAGAGCGAAAAGAAAGAAAATAAAACCACACAAGCCATCCAACGGTTAAAAACAAAAGTTCGCAACGAGTTCGCATCTTAGAGTTCGCATTGGAGAAGGCCCCCTTTGATGTATACTAGAATTTTCGCTCAAAGAAACTCCCTTAAGTAAATGAAGGTCAAGAAAGGCAGCAGCATCCTAGGTTTTAGCCTCACATGAGTCACGTGGGCTTTACCAATTTATATTGAAAATACAACTAAATGAGCTTTTTTATATTTTACTTTGCATTAAAAAAGAAAAAGCAAACACAGATTTCGACATTATTTTTGTCCATGAAATTATTTTAATCCCTTGGGTAATGGGGTAAGCACCTGTTCTTGTCACCCAACAGCGCAAATTACTAATTGTGCCAGCACTACCAGAATTACTTAACTATTTTTTCTCGGTTCCTCCTCCCCACGCTTAGACAAAGCCAACTTTAACGCAAGTAGAAAAATCCATCAAACCAGAGAGGGTGCGTGGAATTTGAAATTAAATAATTGGCTTCGAGGTTTTTGTTTTGACTCGGATTTTGAACACTTATTCTCTATGTGAACTGGATACAGAAGACATGCAATCATAGCACTATACCATATCCAGCATTTCTTTCTTCTTGATATCACTTTCCTATCTCCTTTTTTTCCGTTTTCTGAAGCTCAAAATGGCTGATGGGCTCATTTCCATGCTGCTAGATCGCTTGGCCTCTGCAACCTATGAATACATAGGAGGAGGGGTGAAACTTGTTTTGAACGTGAAGGAAGATGTTGAGAAATTCACTCGGACTCTCCGAGTTATTCAAGCTGTGCTTGAGGATGCAGAGCAACGCCAAGTGACGGATCAAGCTGTCAAAATCTGGTTGGATGAGCTCAAAGATATATCCTACCAGATGGTGGATGCGCTGGATGAGTGGAACACTGCCATTCTGAAACAACAAGTTGAGAAGCAAGAAAGAGAACAAAATGCTCCTGTTCCCCCCAATAAGAAGGTATGTTTCTCTAGTTTCTCCCGTTGCTTTTGTTTTGGCCAACTGAGTCGGGTAATTCATCATCATAAAATTGCTCAGAAGATACAAGGTCTGAATGATAGGTTAACTGAGATTTATGAGGAAAGAAAAAAGTATCAGTTTCTACACAAAGAATTAGGCATTCAACAACCTCAACAACCTCAACGACCTCAAACTGCATCTTTTGTCAATATGTCTGAGACATTTGGTCGTGAAAAGGAACAGGATATTTTGATAACAAAGTTGTTGGGTGATGGTAGTGAAGAAAAAAAGGGGCTCCTTATCATCCCTATTGTAGGGATGGGAGGCATGGGTAAGACCACTTTGACCCAACTAGCCTATAATGATGACAATGTTAAAGCCCATTTTGAGATCAGAAAATGGGTTTGTGTTTCAGACCCTTTTGATGAGATTAAGATCGCTAAAGCCATTAGTGGCGATTACGCCCCAAGTTCAAATGAATTGGATGAGGTCTTGCAATGTATGTCTAGATCCATCCGGGGCAAAAAGTTTCTCCTTGTCTTGGATGATGTATGGACCGATGATCCTAAAAAGTGGGAACAATTAAAGGTACCATTAATCCAAAGTGGTGCTAAAGGCAGCAGAATATTGGTCACCACAAGAAAACTAGAGGTTGCTAATATGATGAGAGCAACACCAAACATGATCAATCTGGAAGGGTTGAGTGATGAATATTGTTTGGCAATCTTCAATCATATGGCCTTTTCTGATGGGAATGTAGATGAGGCATTTGGAGATATAAGTGAGAAAATTGTAAGGAAGTGTAAGGGTTTGCCTCTTGCTGCAAAGACTTTAGGTAGTCTCATGCAGAATAAAAGAACAATGAGAGAATGGAAGGGTATTTTGAATAGTAAGATATGGGATCTAGAGAAAGTCGAGCAAGAAGTTTTCCAACACCTATTCTTAAGTTATAATGATTTGGCCCCAACAATTAAATGCTGCCTTTTATATTGTGCTACTTTTCCTAAAGATTACGAGTTCCAACGAGATCATTTGATTAATCTCTGGATGGCACAAGATTATATTATTTCGAAAGGGAATAAAAGTAAGGGAACAACGGGTGATGCAGTTTTTGACAACTTAGTGGCCCGATCATTTTTCCAGGATTTTGATGAAGATCTTAAAACTGGTACCATTACAAGTTGCAAAATGCATGATATTGTGCATGACTTTGTGCAATTTCTCACCAAGAATGAGTGTTTGATTATCTATCATGGCGAGGAAACTATCAGCGAATCAAATGTATTGGGTGATAAGGTTCGTCATTTGACCTTGAGATATGTTCCTGAAGGTCCACTTTCTATCTCATCTTACAATTGCAAAAATCTTCGCACGCTCGCAACTTTTGATTCAAGAATTACTACCATAGACCCAAATTTAATTTTACAATTGAAATGTCTTAGGACATTAAATTTGAGTGGTAATTCCATCAAAGAACTCCCAGAGGAGATTGGTGAATTGATACATTTGAGGCATATTGATTTGTCTTACAATGAAGATTTGGAGAAATTACCGGACAGTATTTGTGGTTTGTACAATTTGTCTACCTTGCGCCTTCGTTGTTTCTATGGTGGACTTAAAAACTTGCCTGAAAAAATGGGAAACTTGATTAGCTTAAAGCATCTTGAGGTTTGGTTGTGTGTAGCTCTGGAATTCTTGCCCAAAGGGATAAGGAGATTAACAAGTTTGCAAACACTAGATGTGTGTCGGTGTGGTGGCGACAACGATAAAGCATTCCAAATTGGGGATCTGAGAAAGTTGAACCTTGAGGGAAGTCTCAGAATAGAACTTGTGGGGGATGCGACAGATAAGAGCGAGGTTGAGAAAGCACAATTGTGGGACAAAAAGCTATTTCATCTCACCGTTGATTTTCAAAGGCAGACGAACAATAGTAGTAGTATAGAAATACTGAATGCCTTGCGACCGCACCCAGATTTGGAATCTTTAAATATTTGGGATTATAATGGCACCACGGGGCCCAATTGGATTCAGTCTTTACACCATTTGAGATTCCTTAGTGTTAGTTGGGGGACAGAGTGTGAACTTTGGCCTCTTGGGAAATTGGAGTGCCTTGAAACACTGAACCTATCCGGGATGGATGGAGTGAGAAAGGTCGGTGTTGAATTTTTGGGATTAGAAGATCAAACCTCATTTAGAATCAGATCACCACCCCTGATATTATTCCCAAAATTGAAACAACTCCACTTTTACGACCTCCCGAATTGGGAATGGGAAGGCGTGGAAGAGTGGACGAAAGAGGATTCTGAAATTACAATCATGCCATGCCTTTCTGAGTTGACAATTCGACATTGCCCTTTACTAAAAGCACTGCCAGACTTCCTCTTCAAAACACCACTGCAGACTCTTGAGATCTTATACTCTCGGAGACTTTCAGAGCGTTACCAAAAAGGCAATGGAGAGTGGGCCAAGATTTCTCACATCCCAAACATCCGCATACAAAGAAGGTAATGGAGCTCTAGCAATCTCTTATTTACATACTTATGTATCAATTCCAACTATGATCTTATTTGTTTCCTTCAAAATCTTCAGAGGATGGTGACTCGCAAAGCACATTTATGAAAACATCTGTCTGCGGCATATATAATCTTGAGATGAGTATGAAAGGTACTTTGATCATCTTCTTTAAAAGGTACTTTCCTTTTTAATTTTGTACTAAAAGTAAAACTAATTGTTCGCATTATTTTACGACCTCCCGAATTGGGAAGAGTGGGAAGGCGTGGAAGAGTGGACGAAAGAGGATTCTGAAATTACAATCATGCCATGCCTTTCTGAGTTAAGAATTGAGAGGTGCGGAATGCTAAAAGCACTGCCATACTTCCTCTTCAAAACACCACTGCAGACTCTTGAGATTGGCAGATGTCGGAGACTTGCAGAGCATTACGAAGAAGGCAATGGAGAGTGGGCCAAGATTTCTGCTACGATCCCAAACATCAGCATAAAAAGAAGGTAATTGAGCTCTAGCAATCTCTTATTTACATACTTGTGTATCAATTCCAACTATGATCTTATTTGTTTCCTTCAAAATCTTCAGATTTAGTACCCTTAGAGCATGACGACACAATAAACCCATAGATTCAAACATTTTGCAACTACATGAAATAGTGCAATTGAATGAATTTAGTTCGACAAGGTAAACTCTGTTGTGACCCTCTTCATTAAGTTGAAATGAGTGAATTGTGCTATCACTTCCAACCTCATGCATCATCACTGCCAAACTATCTACAAACTCCTTTTCAAATAATTTAAATATTTTCCTTGTGTAGACAGTAGCAGCATGATTCAAAATTCCACTGCTTTTGGCAATTCTAGAAGGGAGTCCTTGATTGCAACGAAAAGACTCTTCTAATTCACTTGAACGCATTTTTTCCGCTTGTTTATCATAGTGATGCACAAATTGAGTAAGACTCATTGTCTTAGTAGACATTTGATGAAAAACATTGTTTGTGCTCTCACTTCTTTGTGAAGATTTTATCCTAGCAGTAAAAATATGCCGGCTAAATACTGGACACCATTTTGCACGAAGATTATATAGTGTCATCAACCATGGGTTGCCTGTAAGGTTGAATTTTGCCAATAAGTCATCCCAAATAGATTGAAATTCCAATTCTGTCTCACAATATCCTTGAAGACACTTATTGAACATATGGTTAAACTCTTGATTACCATAATAACTTCCCAAATTTCTTGCAGCATTCTGAGATATGTGCCACGAGCATAAACGATGACATACCCCAGGAAAAACATTTTGAATGCCATTTGCCATTGCCTGACATTGATCAGTAAAAATAGTCTTTGGTTTTCGACCTCCCATTGATTCTAAAAATGTCTCAAATAACCAAATAAATGAATCAGTTTTCTCATCCAATAAGAAAGCACAACCGAATAGTACATTTTTCCAATGGTGGTTGACGCCGACAAAAGGAGCACATATCATGTTATACCTATTAGTTCGATAAGTAGTATCAAATACTACCACATCTCCAAAACAGTCATAGTCAATTCGTGACCTTCCATCTCTCCAAAAAAAGTTTGTCATTCGATTTTCTTGATCAACTTGAACTGTGTAAAAGAACATAGGATCTTCAGCTTGTTTGCGCTTGAAAAGGTTCATCAAGCTTTGAGCATCCCCTGCTTCAATCATGGCCATTTTCTCCTTGTTCACAACATTGTAGCAATCTCTTTTTGTAAAACCAACATTTTGAGACCCGCCAACTTCTTCTGCTAAATAAGAATATGTATTTGTGGTCCTTATTCCTGCACCCACCATTGTTTTAATGACACCCAAATTTGAATCTGAAACTTTTCTATTTGATCTCAAAAATTGCCTCTCTTCTGGCTTAGCAAGTTCATGGTTATGCTCAGGAACAAAATGAGAAACTTTCCACGTATCATCTTCATCCTGAAATGCAAATCGAATGCTAGCTTCGCAACCTGTTCTTGTCTCTAATTTGCTAACCTTGCTCAATTCCGAAGGGTCACTATCTAGTCGAAAACCTTCTTTTGAACAAAGATAACTAAATTGCCGTAGAACTTTTTTGGTATTGTATCTCTTTTGTCCCTTCCGAACACTAAATCCAACTCTCGTAGCATAATTGTTGTAGAGATTATAAGCTTCCTCTTCAGTGGACACAACCCTTCCAAGCAAATCTTCATCAATATTTTCTACACGGTTAACGATCATTGGATCTTTTTCTCTTACGTTTTCTTCATCACTTTCAACATCAATGAATACTGACACAACCCACAACATCATCTTATATAACATAGAAATAATGATAATAATAATAATTATATATATATATATAAGAGAAACAACCTGTATAACCTCCTACAATCGACAAAAAAAGAAGAAGCAGCAATAGACTGAAAAAACAAACTGCAGCAATCGACAGAAAAAAAAAAAAAGCAGCAATAGACTGAAAAACAAAAACTGCAGCAATCGACAGAAAAAAAAAGGCAGCAATAGACTGAAGAAAAAAAAACTGCAGCTGCAGCAATCGACAAATAAAAGCTACAGTAATAAAATAAAAAAGTACGATTGCAAACACAAATCAAGGATATTTGTTTACCTCTGTCACTATCCATAGTTTTATAGCTGTAAGCTTGACCGAAAAAATAAATGGCTGCAAAAGTCTTCTTTTCATAACAGTGGTACAAATTTCGATAAAAGTAATTATGTTTTAGGGTTCCTTTTTTATATTTTAAAACAAAAACAAAAAAGAGAGTTGGTTACTAACGGTGTTATAATTAAATTTGGATGTTAACATTCTCTCTCTTAAAAAGCAGCCATGCCACATGTCATTATACAATTGGTGCGTACTACCACCTGTAACTGACACGTGGTAGTACTGTACTATTGTATAATTTCTCCAAAGTGTGAAAGCCCTTGGTGGTTGTCTGCTTGGAGATTCTTATTTCATTATTATCTGAAAAGTATATCAAATATAAATGAAAGGCATAAAAAGCGAGGAGTTGTATCCACCTGCCCCAGCATTACATGGCAACGTAAATGAGAAATGTTTAGAAGCCATAAAGATGAGGACTGACTTCCATCTACCCGATTATTAATGTATGAGATGAGAGCAAGTCCAGCCATAGCCCCCAGCCCTGGCAGGACAGGTCTGAGGCCATCTCCAGTTATGAGCTAAATCCCAAATATAGCCCTAAAATAATGCAAAATCCATCTCCAACCATGGGCTAAATAAAATTTTGGCCAAATTTGGAGGGCCACATTTGGCCCTTTAGCCCTCCAACTAGGCCACATATAGCCCACCTTTAGTCTATGCCAATTTTTTGTGGGCCCATGCATTTGCTTTTTAAAAGCCAATAATAAAGTAAGTTGATGTCATAGGTGTATATATATAATAAAATATGAAGAATCCTAAAATATAGCCCTGCATGGCTGGAGATAGAAAAATTTAGCCCTGCACTATTCTTTAAAAAATTAATATTTTTTAGGGCTAAATTTTTAGCCCTGGACTACATTTAGCCCTATGACTGGAGATGGCCTTAGCCCAGGTAACAGTTTGCAGCGGGCCAAGCTTGCCCTGGCAAGCTATGGGCCCCACGAGACAGGGCCAGCCCATAGGCGAAACCAGCCTGACCACACCAAAAAAAATTTAAAAAATACTAAAAATTTCAGAAATTTTTTTATAAATAAATACTAAGTCATATTCTTCACTTCCCACACCAAAACTCTATACAAATTCCTCTCCTCATATCTCATGTGAATAGTGGTTGTCATGGCAATGAGTGGAAACACCACAACCTTTTGCAATGGCTGCCACTATTCATGTGAATAGTAACAGCCCTTGCCTTGCTCTTGCCCTTTGCCATAGCAAATGAGTGGAAGTGCTCTAAGAGCATCTCTATTGTAAAAGTGTAAAGGGAGATGTACCGAGAGTTATCGGAAGTTGCTCCAACATTCATATTTAATTTTACATCTCCATTTGTTGAGCTTCATATGCTGAAAAGGAGGAGAAATAATGTAAAAGTGATGGGCACCAAATATATAAAAGGTGAGATAGCTATCAAAACACCAAAAATATCATTTTGCTGCAACTTAATATAAAATCATTTCCTTTCATGTCCTTTTTACATCTCCTCACTATAGGAGAAAAACTCAAGTTTATAACTTCTGGAGATGTAAGGCCCCGTTTGATTCATGGGAAAAGAGACTTATGGATGAGAAATCAATTGCTTTCCCATGTTTGGTAAGTCTAGACATGGGAAATCGATGCCTTGCACATGGGAAAGTAAGGGGAAAGTGAAGTCATCTTTCCCCCTTGGGTTTTGTTTTCCTCCTTATGGGAAAGTTTAGGAAAATGAGCCAACATTAAATATGCATTTTTCATGACCATATTATCCCCATTAACAATTTAGAATTACAATATAGCATTAAATGCATTCTTTTTCATTTTATTTCATATGGGTAAAAAATCACATTATCTAACACAAACTTATATCGTGGCATGCAACAATTTTATTTTTTAAATAAAAAATAATCATCAATTAGCATGCAAATCACAAATCAAATTTATAAATTTTTTGACATTTCAATTTGAGAAACTTAAATACCAGTTTGTTCAGTATAAAGACTAGGTTTTCCTTTCAGTGCTCATTAACTATATAAAGACTTGTATAGAGTATAATTTAGATATATAAAGACTTGTAACAATCAGCATAATGAGACAAGTCATGTAGACTGAAATTTAGATATATACCTGAATTTAAATTGAGATTTCAATTTGACTATTTGATTTTGAGTGCTCTTTATGATATTTTTTTTTTTCCTTAGTCCTTTATGAATTTAGGTGTTAGTGTTTTCAATTTTTGATATTGGAAAAAATAAAATTAAAGGATTGAAAAAATAAGAGCCAAAGCCATAGATTGGTAATGATTATTACTTAGTAGAAAATAAGAGTTTAAGAAGGAGGAGACATGAATTATTTCTTTTATTGTTGCTGTTACAATAGAAAAAAAAAAAAAAAAAAACCAAGGTAAAACTGTAATCATTGATGTACACAAGCGGGCCTCGAACCCACGCCAGAAGAGTAGAAGTTAAAGTGCAGAAAACCAATGCCGCAGGGCCTCGAACCCACGCCAGAAGAGCTGTTAATAATTACAGGTTTACGAATAATCCCGCTCGCGTTGACTCTGAGCGCAAGAATTATGGAAAGGAAAGAAAAGAGAAAGAGGTAATTATAAAATTCGATATGGTTAGTTTATGCTTGAATGTATATCCTCAGTCTCTGGTGCTCTTGAAAGTTGTACGTGCCATTGGGATTATAAGAGATTGGTAACTCGAGAAGGCCCTGAGGTCACTTGAAGTTTTCTTTTATAACTTTTATTGAATATTTTGTTCTGGTTTTTTCCTGTGAATATTTCTTTTGTCATTTATAAGGGAAAAAGATGAATTATGTTTACCTTCCCCTTTGCCTTTTGTGCTATATAAACATTCATATAACTTTGTTACCCTAAGAGGCTAAACGCCAATTGACTGTAGCCCTGTCTTCCAATACTGTGAATGATGAAATGGTTCTTTCATTGTATGGTTAACCTATGGTGCACTTACTGGCTATTAGGATATTGGAACTTGGCATATAGTCATGGTTAAATGTTATCCATAATGAATTTTCCCAAATCTGGAAGATTGGATAGTGTCTCTGACTTTTTGGTAAATTCATGATAATGTTGCATGAAATTTAACAAAAGATTGATATATATATTTCTTCTTAGCATGCTTAATTGTTGCCAAGATAGATCTTAGAAGTAGAATAGCTAGGCACCACATAATATTGAAGAATTGAGTTCTGAATCTTCTGATCTTTTTCTTTTATGCTAATGGTAATGATGATCCATTATTGTGGACTTTTTTGGCCAATGTGTGGTTGAGTAAGGTTTTAAGATTTTTTTAATATAACGGAACCATGCCAAGATCTTATTATATTTGGGTTTGAAGGTTGATAATTGTTAATGAATGCCCTTTTGTTAAAGAATGTAAAAGTGGTGCATAAGGTTGTTTCTCATCACAATCTTAGTTCTATTAGCTAGCTTGTATGTCTTTCAGGATTGATAATACTTGGATATGTTTTTCCTCCCATAAAATTGAAGTTGTTCAATTTTTATGTTTCTCCTATCCAACTAGATTAGCGTGCGCGCACACATAATTTTCATCAGCAAATTAAGCAATTTGAAAACCTTGTTATCGATTTCAGATTGCAGAATTGAAGTCTGGAATCCTCCCACGTGCTTGAAGGGAACTGAGGTCTCCTTTTTTCTCCCCCTCCAAATCACTAAATAATTAATTAGAAAACTTTCTTTTTTGCCTGGCCTGATTGTTTTGATGAAATATCATTCTATCTTTTGTATAAAGATCACCTCTTATATGTAACTTTGTAAGTGTGTCCTCATTTTTATAGGATGTGGTTATTGTGCAGACTCAAAATGCCAAGCTTGGTCCTCATCCCCTGTGAAATCAATGAGGCCTGTGCAACAGGAAGAATGTGCCGTCGCATTTATAATGCGGCAAAGTTTGCAAAAACAGGCGAGAACCAGTGCAATAGATTGGAATGTTCACCTGGAGAGGTAAATGGAAAGCCCCACTGGAATGTCAGATACATTAGCCTCATAGTATGCAACTGAAAGAGTTACTGGATAAGAAATTCATGTTTTGTTTTCATTTCGAAGGCTGTCATCAGATGCGGCGCTGAAGTTTAGAAAGTTTATTTTAGATTTGGAGCAAGAATATGTATACTTTTGAGAAAAGTAACTGCACGTATACCTTAAGCTTTCGGAGAACAACTGAATGTAAATTAATGGAGCTACATATAACAGAATGACGATACTTTCTGCGGAACTCAATCAGAGCCTTGTGACTTCTTCAACAGATAGTACGCACGGAACAAAAAAGATCCTGAAGCTATCTCACACGGACACATCCTGAAGCTATCTCACACGGACACATCCTCAACAAGAGCCTTGTGTCTGCATATATTTGATTGATGTGGCGCCTCCTCCTATTTACGTCTTTATTAGGTAATCACTTGAGATACGACACGAAAACATCCTGAAGCTATCTCACACGGACACTCATTTCATATTTAATTATTTATGTTTTACCGAATTAGTGTTTAGTAAAATTGAAAACACGGGTACGCTAATATGCTTTAAAATAGTTTAAGGTACTAAATTGAAATTAACTTAAAAAATAATAGCAGAAGAGATAGTTCTGTCTGACTTCAAATCTAATAAATAACAATTGTTTTTCTTTTTTGTTACATTGACAGTGATTGAACCACCCTCTCTTCGACCCAAAAAAAAACAAAAAAAAAACCGCCCTCTCTCTAAACGACAATGAAGACGAATGCTATTCACAAAAACCCAAAATGTATTGGCGGCTATAACAAACAGGTTGAATTGCCTTCATTCTGTTTCTGTATTTGCTGTTGAAGAAGGTGATGAATGTTGTATTTGCTGTTCCAAGTTATTTCTGATCTATCGAAGGTGTGTGTTTTGCCTTAGGTAAAAAAACACTTTGATTTGATGTGTGTTCTTAACCCAAAAAGAAAAAACATATATATAATTTCCCAACTTTAATAACAGCAAGCATAAAATTTTAATTTCCCAGATAAAAAGAATAAAACTATGATTTCATTTGATAGACAAAGGGGTGTAGTAAAAAAAGCAAATAAGAAGATAATGTAATAAATAAAAAGGAAAAAACAGGTTGAGGAAAAGTGGAAAATTAGTCAAAAGATAATGGCTCTTGAATTGAAATCATGAAAGGCAGAAGCTGCCCCTCCATTACAGATAAGCCTCCTTAAACTTTTGGGATAAAGATTCGTGTAACAGTTCCTTTAAGAAGTCTGTGTGGTTCTAGCTTCTTCAAAGTTGTTCAACTCCAATTACTTTCCTCAAAGTTGGCTGCACTTTCCAGCGCACCAGCACTACTTCGTTGCCTTTTTCAGATTCTGCCATTATCTCTCATTGTGATTCTGACTTCCATTCTCTCATTCTAACTCTTTTTTGGAGGGAGCCACAAAACACCTTAGAGATTTTAAGTTGTTTTCTCAAAATTTAGACATCAACCCCAACAACCCCCACCACCACCGCCGACGCCACTGGAAAATGCCACTTGAAATTTGTGATTCATTATCTATATCTATACATATAAGTTATAAGTGCCACTTGGAATTGAGCCTTAAAAATAAGTCTTGTCCTTATATATATTGAAGAAAGTGACATTCAGTTTCAATATTATTGAAGAAAGTGACATTCAGTTTCAATATTATTGAAGAAAGTTTTGAGTTCAAATCTAATAAATGACAATTTTGAGAGACTTGAAAGGGAATGTTAGCATAACCCACTCTAGACAACAATAAACAGAAACCCTTTTTCTTTTTCTTTTTTTGAAGAAAGGTGATTTTACAATAAACAGAAACTTAATTTAAAAGTTAGCATAACCCAAACAAGAAAAGTATAATATATTTTTTTTTCCGAGAACAAGAAAAGTATAATATACTAGCCACTCTTTTGCCTTGGAGTTTGCCTTGAAGACTTACTCAGCATATAAACTGGGCAGCAGAAAGGGAACACTACAACACAAACAATCATCCTGCAATCAGTTCTTGTTCATAAACAATGCTGTCAACCATTTTCTAAAGCTCAAAATAATGGCTGATGCGCTCATTTCCGTGCTGCTAGAACGGTTGGCCTCGACAACCTATGAATACATAGGAGGAGGGGTGAAACATGTTTTGAACGTTAAGGAAGATGTTGAGAAATTCACTCGGACTCTCCGAGTTATTCAAGCTGTGCTTGAGGATGCAGAGCAAAGGCAAGTGACGGATCAAGCAGTCAAAATCTGGTTGGATGAGCTCAAAGATGTATCCTACCAGATGGTGGATGTGCTGGATGAGTGGAACACAGACATTCTCAAACAACAAGTTGACAAGCAAGAAAGAGAAGGTGGTCCAAATGCTCTTGTTACAAAGAAGAAGGTACGTTTCTCTAGTTTCTCCCGTTGCCTTTGTTTTGGTAAAGTCAGTCGGGTGATTCTTCGCCGTGACATTGCTCTGAAAATAAAAGATCTGAATGATAAGTTAACTTAGATTTATGAGGAAAGAAAAAAGTACCAGTTTCTACGTAAAGAATTAGGCATTCAACAACCTCAACGACCTCAACGACCTCAAACTGCATCTTATGTCAATATGTCTGAGATATTTGGTCGTGTTTCCCTCTTTTCGGCCGGGTAGGCCGATGGAAGGAGTTTTTGGTCCTTCTTCTCTTGAGATGCGTAGGCGTGCCACCACCAAACCACTTGATGACTTGGATGGAAAGATTGTGTGAGTGTGTTTGCGCTTCTGACTTCTAATCAAACAATTGATCGACCAAGCAAGGAACCTCCTCTTGGTCTAGGTTCTTTTTCTTCCTTGAGGTCAAGGATGATTGAGCTTTGTATGACTATTTTTAGGATTTTTGTGATAAGTGTAGTGAATGTAAATGCAGGAAATGAAATGACAAAAATTTAAATGCGATTAAATAGATTAAAGCGATAAAGACTTGAATTAAATTCGAATGTAAAGACAATTGGAATTAAATTGCAAGAAAGTAAGCTTACACTAGAAAAACGAAGAACTCGGATAATCTGAATAGCTTGAAAGATAAAATCCTAGACTATGAATTGAAAAGTACAGGATAAAGAGATAGATTTTGTGTGTTCAGTTGGCGGTCCTCTTCTCTTTATAACTTAAACAAATGGCAATAGGCCAATTAGTGGCCTCTCAGTCATCTTCAGCAAATTCTCACGCCATTTTTGTTCTGCACACACACACACACACATATATATATATATATAACTTAAACAAATGGCAATAGGCCAATTGATGGCCTTTGAGTCATCTTCAGCAAATTCCCACGCCATTTATGGTCTACATATATATATATATATATATATATATATATATATATATATATATATATATATATATATATATATATATATATATATATATATATATATATATATATATATATATATATATATATATATATATATATATATATATATATATATATATATATATATATATATATATATATATATATATATATATATATATATATATATATATATATATATATATATATATATATATATATATATATATATATATATATATATATATATATATATATATATATATATATATATATATATATATATATATATATATATATATATATATATATATATATATATATATATATATATATATATATATATATATATATATATATATATATATATATATATATATATATATATATATATATATATATATATATATATATATATATATATATATATATATATATATATATATATATATATATATATATATATATATATATATATATATATATATATATATATATATATATATATATAGATATGAATATATATATATATAGATATGAATGAATTCTGCCATGCCATGCAAACATGTTTGAGTGTGGTTGAAAATTCACAGCAATTAATTACAACCCATAAGAATGCTTTCAACAATATAAGTGCATCTATTTAATTGTTGTACATCGGTTATGAATAAATACATATTGGTGCCCCTTTCAACAATACATAATTGAGCCTCAACAATATGGTGCACCAATATATATTTATTCATATCTATTCATGCAGAAGGCACATCAGATCAAGTTGCATCTGATAGAATGGTTTGTTAGCCTCAACTAATGTATTTATATAAATGCACTCAATGGGTTGCCTTTATATCCAGAAATATCCCAGTACATGATGGCGTGGCTTTTTCAATTATGGCTACAGTTGGGGCACTCAAACAATATTTATCAATGATGTATAGCCATCGTGTGGTCCGCATCCACACGCCCAGCACCACTCAAACAATATAATATTGTCATTGGTTTTGAGCCACAGCATATTCAAACATTTGGTCCATGCGGCACTCAGCAATATGCAAAAGGCAAAGTTAGTGGGCTCTGACCACTGTGGTTTTACACAACATTGGGAAACACCCAGACCAATTCATTAAAATTGCTCTCTGAATGGAATGAGTACTTTCAGTTTACCTTTCTGGAAGGGGCAATGTTTGCATGGCATGGCAGAATTCATTCATATCTATATATATATATATATTCATATCTATATACTACAGGGGTCCAAGAGATTTGAGGTCACTCACCGTTGAATGTAAATTCAATGGTTCACGCACTCTTGCACTCCTTTTAAGAAACTTTTTTGAACCATTGGATTAATATCCAACGGTGAGTGACCACAATTTCTTGGACTCCTATGGTCCAAGAGATCATGACTGTATATATATATATATATATATGAAAGGGGCGTGGGAATTTTCTGAAAATGACTCAAAGGCCATCAATTGGCCTATCGCTATCTGTCTAAGTTATATATATATATATATATATATATATGCAGACCATTGCTATACATGTGAGAGGAAAAAATGCCCTAAGATCTGAAAATGATTC